AGTAAATGCACTTTTTTATTGTTTCTAAAAATTGGCTCTTATCATAGCTTTAACATGTTAGCCTGGCAATATATTTGATTAACATTAAATTTCTGTAAAAATTTCCGTCCAATTCATAAATTTTTGTGTATAATTGGGAGTAGGTTGGACCTAGAAGAAGGAATTATATATCATGCAAACTTATCATGTGTGGTCTTTATACTGTATACAGTATAATACACTCATACATACTATACACACTCTACACTCTACATACACTCTAAATACACTACACTCTACATACACTCTACACTCTAAACTCTACACTCTACACACTACACTCTACACTCTACAGTCTACACTCTACATACACTCTACACTCTACGCTCTGCACTTTACACACTCTACACTATACACACTCTAAACTCTACACACTCTACACTCTAGACTTTACACTCTACACTCTACACACTCTACACACTCTACACACTCTACACTCTACACTCTACGCTCTGCACTATACACACTCTAAACTCTACACACTCTACACTCTACACTCTATACTCTACACTGTACACTCTACACTTTAGTCACGCGACGTAATCGTCTCGTTCTAAACTCCCTGCCCCTGAGAGGCTGAGCTCTCCTCTTAGAAGATGTGAAACCCCTGAAGTTGAGGGAGGGACTAATTGAAACCAGTTTTGTATTGTAAACTTGACCTTAAATCTGTACTGTGTCCACCATTTACACTTGATATTGATACAGCAAGTATTATTGTTGTGATCTGCATACGGCACATTAAGGTATTAATTAGGCATTACTAGATTCTTTTATATGAGAACTGAGTTTCTATCCTAATGTGTTCGAATTTAACCATGTTAGAGTTTATTGCATATTTCGAGCAAGTAAAGATTTTTATTTCCACGAACTGATTTTGTATATATTTTCTTCTTATTGTATTTTCACAGTTATAAATAAACTAATTGGGCGATCGTTTATAGATTGAACCCGTCTGGTACTGTTTAGAGCACAGGGAGAGAGCCTAAACGAAGAAGAGTTTGCGTCCAAAAGATCTGAGATTTAGTGCTGGTTCCAATCAAACCCCATAGCAGACCATGACGAGGTTATAAAACTATAGGATATTTAAAGCGGCCAGGCTTGGTCGCGAAACAGATATATAAAAATAGATATATAAATTAACGTAAAAATGTCAAAAATATATATAAGAACAAAGTAACAAAAAATCATTTCGAATACTACATCACTTGCATCACTTGTTAGAAGACAAATACTGCTATTGAAACAATATAAAAAATGACAAATAATTTTGTTTTAATCTTTCACCAAAATATTCCACTAAGAATGTAGTACTTGGCTGAGCTAATAAAGTCAAAACCAACATCTTAGTAACATATAAAACTATTTTCAATGCGAGTTTACAACCTTGTTTACATATTTGTTGTTATGTTAGTTAAGATGTGATATTCTTGTCAACTATTTTGTTGACTATTTGTTAACAACTTTGTATAAATTTTTGTTTAAATCCTTGTTAACAGCTTTGCTTAAAATTTTTTATGCAAAATATAGTTTGTTTATACATTCATTTACAACTTTGTTTACATGTGGGTTTACATGTTTGTTTACAACTAATCGTTTACATGTTAGTTTACAATTTTGTAAACCTATTTGTATACAACTTTGCTAACGATTTTGTTTGCTTGTTTGTTTACAACTCTGTTAACAATTTTGTTTACATGCTTGTTACAATTTTCAACATGTTTTGTTTACAATTTTTTAACAAGTTTGTTTACAATTTTGTTTACATGATTGTTTACAACTAATTTTTCACAATTTTGTTTACATATTTTTTCCCAACTTTTTTTACATTTTTGTTTACAAAACTGTTTACTTTTTGTGTTTATGTTTGTTTACAACTTCGTTTAAAATGTTGTTTACAATTTTGTTTACGTATTGTTTACAAATTTGTTTACAAGTTTATTTACAACTTTGTTTACAACTTTGTTTATATGATTGTTGTTTCTTTGCAGCTTTGTTCATAACTTTGTTTATGTGATTGTTTACTTGTTTCTATGCAGTTTGTTTACATGATTTTTTACATCTACTTCCATTCTTTCTCGTAGAGTTCCTTGGCTAGATCTTTCAGTCTTGTTCTAAAACAAATTTAATGAAAGGGGGTATAGGATGAAACCTGAGAATCGCACGCGTTTAACAATACATATAAGACATCTATCGGATGTGTCTGTCTCGAGAAATTCATATATATAAAATTTTGTATAAAATTCGTAGTATAAAACAGATATTCCACAAAAGCGAAACCAATCTGAAAACGACGATGTCCCACAAAGACCTGAGAATCTCAGGTTTGCTCCTGTTATAATCATTTAATTTTTATTTTGCATTTTTAATAGATATAATTGATAATATTATTACATTGTAGGCCGTATAGTCCGTATTACGTCACCATAACTTCAGCCAATGACAGTGCAGTATACTGGTCACGTGATTTCCGCCTGTATCCCATTCCCGTGACCAGTATACTGCACTCTCATAGGTGGAAGTTCTTGTGACGTAATACGGACTTTTAAATAATACTATCAATTACATCTATTAAAAATGCAAAATAAAAATAAAAAAATTATAATGGGAGCAAACCTAATATTCTCAGGTTGTTGTGGGATATAATCGTTATCAGATTGGGTATTTCCTGATCTGTTTAAACCTACTTAAAACTACTTTTATACAAAATACGAAAAATGAAAATATCTTTCACATTATTGACCAGATAAAGGTTTCATGGGATACCATTGTGACTACCTTATTTACATGGAGGGTCACTTGAAATTATGATTACAGTCCCTAAATAGAAAATGGAGAGTATAAAAACCACGTTGTTATACCTCAGGGTTCAGAACATTAGGCATTGTCCCACTTGCCAGCAGTATTGCCATATCCTAGAAAAAAGAACAATGAAAAAATATTAAATATGTTTCAAATTTGTGAAAGTACAATAAGCGGCTTCTTTTAGAGCAAATAATCAAATTTAAAAATAAACATTTTTTTAAAAGGTTAATGGAGTATGCAGGTCTGCAACTAGAAAAATATTGGTCTGCAACTAGAAAGATATTTGGCAAGACATCTAGTAAAATAGATAGAAAAATTTTCCCACCAGAGTCTTACAATTACTTTTTAATCAAACAAATTAAAAAAAATATTTAAAAAAGATTAAAAATGTGGATGTTAAATTTTTCCATTACCTGCCTCTCCATATACTCTTTTCTAAAGTCCTCAAAAGAGAATTCTAAGTTACCCTAATAAACTTAAAGGATTATTCTTAGGAATCAGATTATTCGTAAAATTGAGAAAAAGTAAAAACATATAAACTAATATTAATCTCGTATATATATATTGTAAAGTTTTCATTTTAATATTTTCATAATACAGGATGCCCCACCAAACATAACGTTTTAAAGACAAGGAAACTGATATTTTTGAAGCTATAGCTTGTAAATACAGCTTTGTCCAAGGTACTCATAGTTACTTAAGCCGTTTTCCCGCACTTGGTCGTAAATTAGCTATTTTTCCTGATAAATGTTGACCCACTCATCTTAAATCTCAAAATCGGTCCAAGGCTTCTTGAGTTATGATCGGACAAACAAACAAACAGACAAATAGAGTTAACAACTTTATATCTTTGAAGCATACTTCAGTTGAAGATAACGAAATTAAAGCTGCAGCTTAGGGTTTCTTTAAATCATCAAATTGACTGTTAAATATATGTACTACGGCTGCCCGTGAATCGAACATTCCTACTTCATAGAAAATAACCTATTTCAGTTAGAATAACAAAATCTCACAATTATCAACAATAAGAAAAAGGTTCATCGTTGTGAATCAGGCATCATGCAACTTTACAATTGTTATAAAGTAAAAGGAAATATTTTACCTAAACTGTCTGTTTGTATTTACCCCCAGTAGATAGAGGAGGTCTACAGCAGGATGTGAGATCAACAACATCTGGTAAAAAAAAAAAACATTTTTGATGAAAAAATATTTAAGTTGAATCGATAAAATGTGTTATCTATTTTCAGAAAATTAGATTCAATGGAAATATAAACCCCCGAGGGTTTCCATGATAAACCCTGGAAGGATTCAATAAAATCTTTTTTATCTATATCACTAAAAATGTTTTTAGATAACCTGGATTTAATGAAAATTGTTGCATCCTTAAAAAAGCTTGTAATAAAGAAATTTTAGTTAATCGGTCTTTTGTAGCATAACTTGTATTCAAACAAAGAAAGATTTTTTTTTGATTAAAAACCATTTTTTTCAAAATTGTTAAAATATTTTTTATTTTTGTTTGTTCCCTGGTAATCGATTATGATAACTTTGCTGGGCTCCCCCTGTCCACCGGAGTATACATTTCACACATTTTCAAGAAAATCCAACATTAGCTGACAAAATCTTTCCACCCTTCTATCCCAAATTACAGCAATAATGAGTGTATTCAATGTTATAACAAAAAGCAAATAGTTTAAGTAAACACTTATTAAATCAACACTGCACAATCACTGTGTCTCATATTCATTGTACTTTTTAAAGTTAAAATTGATTCTAAAAGCCGCCTTCCAATTTCAGAATTTTCTGGTTATCCCTGTACCAAACATCTGAGATAAAAATGATTTCCAAGATTGAGGGGGGGGGCCGGGGGGGAAGTGAAATT